TGGGTGGCAGATGAACAACAGGCTGCTCTAACACAAAGCTGCGAGTACGAAGTTGCTGTAGCTGGGGGTGGCAGGGGGAGGTGGAGTGGAACATAGAACACAGAAATTAACCTCATTTTCAGAGGTGGGGGCTGTCAAGAGAGTCTCTGGAGTAGATGACACCCGAGCAGAGATTTAAAAGATGAGCAGCAGTTGGGGGAAAAGAGGGAAGTGACAGATCTCTAGGTAGAAGGAACAACATCTGCAAAGGCAAAGATGTAACAGCAGGGGGTGGTGTAAGCCAGGAACCGGAAGCAGCTTGGTATTGTAGGATTTTAAGAAGGATGAGAGGAGGAGGGAGGCCCGCTAGAGCAACAGGACAGACACAGAGAGCGGAGGAACTTAGAGAGCTTTGGTCTTCATCGTATGGATGATGAAGAACTCGGGCAGATGTCCAGCCTCAGAATGGCACAATCAGGTGGTGTTTCAGAAAGATCCCTCTAGAGACTGTTATCAGGAGAATGAGCTCGATAGGAAGATCAGCAACGGCACCTGTCAGCAAGGGGAATGATGCTGCTACAAGATCAGTGCTGGGAAAGAAGAGAGGGGAAGGGCTCAAGCAAAATACTCAGGAGGCACAGCTGAGCAGACCTGTGGGCCTCCTGGACATGGGTGGCAAAAGGGAGAAGAGTTGTAGATGATGTACAGATTCTAACGATGAGAGAACTCAGATAAAAGAAAAGTTGTGAGGTTTGGGAAGATGGTGAAAGATGACATGTTTGATTTTTGACATGTGGAGTTCAAAGTATTCATGGGATTTCCAAGTTGAAATCAGTCTTAGGCACACACAGGCGTCATCTGAGCTAGGATAGTTTCAGAGTCAACAGCACTCTAAATTTAACACAGAACAAGAAGATTCCAGTAGACCACGGTGAGAAAAGCAGTAGGCAGAGGAAAGACCCTGGGAAAATACCAATATTTGATAGGATAACAGAAGGAGAGGCTGCTAAGAAGAACAAAGAGGCCAAATGCAATAGAGAAAGGTCACCTAAGCTATAAAAAGTGTGTACTTCATTGAACAATTAGGAAGTCATAGGTATGCATACTGATTAGACTTCTTGGTTGCAGACAACTGAGTCCATTCAAGTTACTTTAAGCAGAAAGATATTTATTAGAGGGTATTAGACAGCATACACAGTCTCCAGGAGGCAACAGACCCAGGTCTGTATGTCTTCCAGTCAGGAAGAACAAAGTTGCCAAGACAAACCCCCACCCTCACCATAGGATTGTCAGTAGGAAGACCCGACTGCCACCACTTCATTCTGCTCGGCACCAGTGACCAGGTTCTATGACCTTCACCAGAGTTGCCCTGAAATGCCTCGGCCACTGTGTCTGCAAGAAGAGATGAGCCACTCTTGCCAAGAGCAGTCTTGTCCTAGGATGATCTTGCTCCGTGCCACCTAACTGAATGCTCACCTTCAGAATGCCAAAAGCCAACTGTCCCATCACTGAGATCATCCACCATTGAGAATTTGGGGCAGAAGCAAGAATCGATAAAATGAAGATGGACTCAAAAAAAGGAAAAAAAAAAAGAAAAAGGAAGAAAAATCTTTATTCTTTGGAAACACATTTGTAAAAATGTTATCAGTAAGATGAAAAGATTCAGAACACATTTATTTGGGTGCAGCACATACACTGAGGATCAAAACACCTGCTAAAATGGAATACACCTGTAAACAAATACCCCAGGGACAGGTTATAGGTGATCCACCCACTGGGCATGGTGTGCAGCCGAGACCCTCCTGAATTGACTGTGGTCACCAAAAGAGATCAGATGGTAGCATTAAAATCTCTCAAAGGATGTCAATATATGTTGAGGGGCTTAAAAATGGGAGCCAAATTACAACTGCATATTTAAAAGTGGCATAATAATCACCTGATTACACTAATGAAAAAATATCTCAGGCCTATCTATTAAAACATGCTTGACTCATGAATTGAAATGGGGAAAATAAATATTTTGGTTCAAGTGTCACCCTAAAAGACAACACATGGTTTTCTGGCTGGGGATATAGCTCAGTTGGTAGAGTGCTTGCCTTGCATGCACAAGGCCCTGGGTTCAATCCCCAGCACCACAAAAAAAAAAAAAAAAAAAAAAAAAAAAAAAAAGAAAAAAATGGTTTTCTGGTTGGTTCTACAGAAAGACTGGGGCCAGGCCTGCCTTCCCTGTGCTACAAAATGCTTTGGCACAACCTCTGTAAAATCTCCCATGTTTTCATGGGAGCCTCAGGTGCGTCTCAATCCGCAGGTTCCATTTCAAAGGAGTGAAGTCTAGAGTAAAACCCAACCCCCGAATCCTGACAGTGTGTATTCACAACGATGTCTTCTGAAGATCATGCAAGAGAGCAGCACCGATGATTAAGACATTAAAAATTATTTTACACTTGAGCAGCAAATGCTATCAAAATGGATGCTATGCCATTTGTGATTAGTGCTAAGGCTGAAATTCAAAGTGGCTGAACTGCTTTAAGATCTGAAATTCAAAAAGTCTCCCTGTGTTTACAGAACATCTATTAAGTTATATACTTTGTTGCATTTCTGAGGCAACAGAAGCAGGTCCTTTAGTTTGAAGGTATGTCCTCAACCTCCAAGAAATTATATTTTCATAAATCAAAGAATTTGAGAGTCAGAAAAGATCTTGGAGCTCACCTAGTCCAACTCATTTTTAGATGGGGGAATGGGGCCAAACAAGGGGAACCAGCTCAGACAAGGTCACTCAGTGGTGCAGGCTGGACGCTAGCAGTCTCTGTTCCCACCCCAGTGTAGGCTGAGCTATGTTCCCCCTCTTTTTTGATTTAATTGGTCCCATTAATTAAATAACAAAGAATATCAGGTAAGCAGTGAGAGGGTAAACGTAGACTTTAGCTCCGATTTTAAAATCAGAATATAAAAATGATTGCTGAGCCTTCAGCTCCCTTCATTTTGTCGAGAACGCCGTCAACAGTAAATCACGGCCAGCTATCGTGGCTCTCTTCAAATATTTACACAGACACTGAAAACGGCTCTCAGAACCGTTCCACAGAGACACTTGTAGGAACACATGCACGTAACACCAAGACCCTTCTCATGGGATGCAGTGACGGCACGGTGGGGCCTGGAGTGAGACGCTTCAGTCTCAGAGAGCAGTCATGAGTTTGTCCCGACACATCACACTGTGCGTCCCTCCTACGTTCCTCGGGTTCTGGGCGTGGACAGAATGGCTGTCCTCTCCGCTGGCCGGTGCTTTCCAGAGCCACCTGTCATCCTGAAAGGGTGGCCTGTTTTGTTTGCAGAGTGAACGGTTAGTGGGAGAATGGGAGAGAATTCAGAGACGAGAGTGAGACAACACAGGTACAAAGGAAACGGCCAGGGGACCAGCGGACGTGATGGCGGGCACACGGAAATGAATGGACTGGCTACTCAGTAATTTAGAAACTCCAGATGCGGATCATCTATCAACTTCCAAGTTAAGAGTTCTGTTTATGGCCCAGTCACCTCTTCTCAAAGGGTGTCACAGGGTCAGGTCAGTCTGGGAAGCCAGGTGAAGTGGGAAGGTTCCTTTACCACAAGGAAGGCTTCTATCATGCTAATGTGCAGGGTGATCTGTGATCACCCACGGTGGCATTTGCCAAAAGTGCTGGACTAAAAAACTCTCTTTTCATGGGAAGGCTGATAATACACAAAATGCTGGAACCATCCCAGAGATTCCCATGCAGGAGGTCTGGGGAGGGGCTGAGAGCAGGCATTCCCAACAGGCCCCCAGGGGATGCTAAGGCTGACCTTCAGGAGGGCCACCTGCTAGGGACTCTGTTGAATCCCTTGTAAATAGTGGAACTAAGGAAACTACTACAATAAAACAGACAATACTACGTATAAAGTTCATAAAAGCAGTATTAATAAAATAACTTTTTTAAAAAAATCAATCTTCTGTTTCTTCTGTCTGGAAAATAAACTACCATTGAAATACAGAAAGAGTAAGAATGATCACTTCACTAATCTAACTTGCTACAAAAGCTATATGAATATCAATCAAGGTGATTATAATTTTAAAAAATTGCACTGTTGTCATTACAAGATCCACTGAAGACTTTTATTTGCCTTGGTCTAAGCAAATTGATTTCCACCACTTGATTTTTCTCAAGGAGCAAGGCTTACAACTCTATTTAAGCAAACTCAATTCACAAACTTTGTTCCTGAATGGGCTTGACAAATAAACACTAATTAAGACTGATCTAAAATGCAAATCTTAGAGGCATATCTATTTTCACAAAACTGGCCTTGAAAAACACTCTGGGGCCTAACTATAAACACAGTAGAGCAGTGCCAATTCTTCAGGGGGAGGCCCAGGCAGGGCCCAGGCGGGTAGGGCAGGGGTCAGTAAGTAACAGCCATCAGGTCAAATCCCACTGTTTCTGCAAACAAGTTTTACTGGGGACACAGCCATGTCCTCTTACTTATGTTTTGTCTATGGCTGTTTTCAGGTAACAATGTCAGAGTTGAGTCAATGGGAGTGACAATGACCACAGTCAAAAATATTGACTATGCTTTACAGAAACTGTTTACTGACCCTTGGGTTTGGTGGGGTGGGGGTGGGGGGAATCCACTGCCAGAAAAGCAAACCCTGTCCCCATCCAATTAAAAAAAAAAACCCACAATGACAATCCCCACGTTTTAATCACATTATAAGTAAACAAATTGTTAGAACAGGAAAATGTTACTTAGAAAATCTAAGTAACATCTTGATATAAAATCAAATCCAAAATATCTGAGGTTAGAGTGTTTAAAAAAAAAATTCCCTTTTATTTCACAAAAACTTGTGGCTGGCTTCTACTGCTTTGCAAATGATTCATCCCTGCCTTGGCAATGTAACCCTCGGGAACCGCTTCTGCGGCAGACTTCCAATTCATAACTAAGTAGAGTGGGAGCTTTTCAAGAGAAAGGAGAACTTTCCAAAGCGCAGCTCAGGGAGTGTCAACACTTACCTGACATTTGGAGAGTGAGGGTGCCACCGGGGCTGGCTGGGGTGGACGTTCGGATGGTACTGAGGCTAGAAACAAAATACCACACTTGATTACCCACTGGCCTTTGGATTTCAATGGTCTCCATTCACTTTCTTTTTCATGGCAACCAGCTCAGGGGCGGAGGGGGCTGTGACAGAAAGACTGTAACTGAACCCTGGCGGAGCGGTGGACCTCTCCCAGGGTGATGGGGTTTCTCCCACTGTCAAAGGCTGGGACTGGAAGCCTGAGCCTGGTTCTCAAAGCGCCATCTACAGAGGTGGACTCCTGGGAAGTGCTGGGATGCCACTCCAGAAGCACAGTACCTCTGCTTGGAGGGGGTGGTCCTCTGGTACCCAGGACGGGCACTATTCCTCCCTGCCAAGGGGACCCGATAACAGAAAGAAGGTGAGAGCAGGAGTCAATTTCCCTCTTCAGAGAAAGTTTTTGTTGCTGCTGCAAATGATGATGATGATGTGTGTGACGGTGACATCTGCACACACTCAAGGGCTGGACAGGGATGCGAAGTGAGACAGCAGAGCTGTGGGTGAATTTCTTTCTTCCTGGTATAAATGCTAAAAATAATTTTCTAAAATGTACTCTAAAACAAACAAAAAATCCACAGTACTTATTATCTTGATAAAACTGGACGAAGGTAGACAGGGAGGGAGGCTGGGCGAGATGGCTAAAGGGAAAGGAGGAGGGTGGGAAGTCATCCATTGCAAGAGGAAGAAAACAGACCCAAAACAGTGATCAGGGCGAACCCAGACGGGCCTGGCTGGGTTGCAGGCAGCCTATCCACATCTGGCCTGTAGAGGGCAGCAGTCCTAGACACAGCCTGACACCCGGGGTTTCTCAAGGCTAAACTTGCTATGGGGCAAATTAAGCCCTCCTGACATTAAAGTCACTACAATCTTGGCACCATTAATCTTTTAATTATTTCTTCCCTTCCTCTTCCTTCTCCTGCTGCTTCGGTTAATAGGCAGCAGGCTGCTCTGTTACAGAAAATTCTCAGCAATTCCGTTCATCCAATTTTCATGGACCTGAGATGCCCTCCCAGCCTATTCTGTATTCCAGTAGCCTTTCTTTCTGCCTTCAAACATGCCTGTCAGCAAGCTGAGTCTGCAGCCCCCAAAGGACAAGCTGCAGGGGAAAAGAATCTGGAGAAAATAGCTCAGCAGCAGAGTTGGAGAGATGACCAGGGCTCTAGGATCTCCCTGCTGCCATCTCTTCATGTCTCTTCCTTTTAGGAGATTCAGACACCCATAGGGTTTGGATGATTTGCCCAAAGCCAAACTGTTCTAGGTGCTGTGGTCTCAGCCATGCCCCAAATGAGGTTCCACACCCTGGATCTTCAACAAAAAAGAACAACTAACCCACAATTGGATCCCCTACTCTCTTCTCTTCCTTCAAACACACCAAATCAGATTCATCAGAAAGAGGTGGGAACCTGATCCACAGACCTGGAAAAAGGAGATTCCAGAACCTTCCTCAGTCTCCTCTGGTAATCTGTTTTATGTTAAGCCAGATGGTCCTCTCAACTGAGAAAGTCATGTCCCCCTGGGGACAACGGAAATGCATGGATGTGTTTCTGCTTGTCATGACGACACAGGAAGAGGCAGCTAAACATCCTGCAACTTCAGGGACAGTCCCAAACAAGGAAGAGCCGTCCCTCCTCAAATGCCAATAGTGTCCTCCCGGAGAACACAGCCATCCCTCCTTTGCAGTTGGCTGACCTTGCTGTACTGGGAATCAGATAAATGCTGTCACGCCATCCTCCAGAGAACTCCGTGCAGCATTCTGAGGCCACCAAGCCAGTCCTCCTCAGGATGTTCTCTTCCCGGGCAATTTACTCCCAAACCTTGATAGAGCAACACGGGCCCTCTAAGTCTGGCACGGGACCAGTGGTTGCCAATGATGTGGAGAGAACAATGTCTAGATAAGTTTCTGCAGATCTGATGCCAACCCAAAACTTCCTGGATGTTACTCCAAGCAGAGAAGGCACAGGGAGGACCCACGCCCGCAGGGGAGTGCCAAGCTGGGCTGCTTTACTTTGTTAATTTTTATTCTTTTCCTCTCCTTCAAACACTGATCACCATCGGTAACCTCTCCCTGCCCCTACAACAGTTGCTCACACCTGACAATCCCACAAGAAAAACAGCCTGAGAATGAGACTCAAGAATCCCAGGAAGGCAGGGAGAGAAGGAAACCAGAATATTTCTACTACCAAGCCCCATTTCCATGTTGCTCCCTGAAACTCAGAAGTCACGTCCAGGTTCTGCACACTGGGAATGTGGTGTCGAGGATGCAAGTCAATCACCAAGTTCTTGGGAGACATAACTTGGAAACCTAGTGAAGATGATGTCCATTGAGGTCTCACCCTCACGTAAGGGACTGTTCTCTATGGTAATGAAGGACCCGGAAAAGGGATGATGAGTATAAGACTCCAACATGAAATTGTTTGTAGAACAGTAGCATCACTTGTGCTATTGACAACCAGACTAAGATTAGGGAACAGCAACCCGGGAGGACAGTGTCCCTGGGGACACTCACACCCACCAGGAGTGAGAGACTTGACCTTCTGTGGTTTGATGTGGTTTTCCCCCAGGGGTTCATGTACTGTCCTGGTCCTTGGTGTGTTGCTGTATGAGGCCGTGGGGGCATTTAAGAGGTGGAGCTTAGTGGGGGGTGATCAGGTGCAGGGGTCGAGGGGAGGGCATGCTGTCCTTGAAGGAGATTAGGGTAAATATCCTGGGATCCTGGTTAGTTTCCACTGAGAGTAAGTTGCTATAAAAAAAAAAAAAAGCAAGCGCCACCCGCCTTGCGCCTTGCCTGGCTCCCTGTCTCCAGGATGATCTCTTCTACCACACACACTCTTGCCATTGTGGTGCCACCTGCCCTAAGGTCCTCACTGGAACCCAGGAGAAGCCAGTGCCATGCTCTTGAACCTCAAGAACTATGAGCTAAATGTACTTTTTTTTTTTATTTATGAAGTACTCAGCATCAGGTATTTTGTTAGAGCAACAGAAAAAAAAAAATGACTAAAATAAGGCCTCCAACTAAAAGTCACCAGAGAGGGATGCTGCTTTTGAGCAGAAACTAATGAGCACCTGAGAAGCAAGGTACATACCACATCGTCCACCCAGGGTCCCCTGCCTGGATGCTCATTAGAACCTCCTCAGGAACTCTGAAACTCTACCCCTAGAGTTTATGCTCAATCTTTCCGGGGTGAGGCCCGAGCACTGGTTATTTTTTAAACGCTGGCCAGATTGCTTTAATGTGCAGGAGAATGAGAATTGCTAGAGCTGGTGGCTTCCAGCTGAGGAGATCAGGAAGAAGGGGCTCCTGAGCTGCTCTTCAAAACATATGTTTAGTGAATAGGTAGGAGGTAAAGGATTCTAAGCAGACGAGAATGGGCAGAGGAAGAGTGGAAAGGAATTGGGGGTGACAGTTACGCAACTCCCTGTGAGCAGAACTTTTGGGGTACGATGAGAAGGGGTGAGAAATAAAATGCAGAGAAGTCAGAATCAGGTCACAGAAGGCTACAAATGGCCAGAGAGGGCTTAGGAGGAGGCTGCGCTGTGGACCACATCTTTCAGGCTACCAAGGCTTTCCTGGCGTAGGTGGACAGGCAGGCGGGCAGGCAGCATGGGCCCTGGCTGGCTGTCCTGCAGAAGAGCAGAACATCAACTGTGGAAACACACCTGTGCTCCTGTGGGTGAGAGACCAGCACCGTGCTTTACAAAGCAGGTTCTAGAAACCACTGCTCCACAGATGTTAATGGGTTTACCATTAAAAAAAAAAAAAGTCAGTGGAGGCTAGTTTTTTTTTTTTTTTTAATGGTGGGGGGACCAATTCACAGATGATTTGGTGAAATACTGAGTTATAAAAAAATATAAGGGGCTGGGGTCGTGGCTTAGCAGTAGAATGCTCGCCTAGCACGTGCGGGGCACTGGGTTTGATCCTCAGCACCACATAAAAATAAATAAATAAAATAAAGGTACTGGGTCCAACTACAACTTTTAAAAGATCTTAAAAATAAAATAAAATGTGCCTTTCTTGTAGGATTTTTCATATTTTTACATCCCAATGGGCACTTAAGATCCCAGAAGGCAAATGAAGGAAGCAACATTTACCAAACATTTGACCAAAGCATCCTCTTCTGGAGGAACGTCTCAAGGGACTCGTGTTCCCCAGGCCTAGGACATGCTTCAACAAAAGGCTGTCTTATTTGAATGTCACTACGAGGTTGCATTTGACCACCCAGAAACTTAAGCACATGTCCCTGAGGCTTGCCAGCTGCCAAGGTTAAGAAAAACAGGCAGTTCAGATGGCCAGGAGGAAGCGGGGCCAGGAAAGAAGGTTTATCTTACTGTTTTCTCAAAAAAAAAAAAAAAAAAAAGGCAGAAAAAAAACTTAACATTATTTCTTCAAAATCTAATGATATACATAATGATGATAATTATAGCAAATTTAGAAAGATCTTTAAAAGTAGGATCTCACCTGGTAATTATGGACTTCAGGATTTGTTTTAGAGCTAAAAAGAAAAAGAAACATTGTAACTTTACAGGTTGTAAAGTGGCATTACTAGGGACCTATTTAATCATAAGCCCCTCCTATGTACTCCCTGCTCTGTTAGGAATGTTCACACACTATTTCTTCTTGGTTATTGGATGCTTAAATGAACATATAATCAGGCAAACCACAGACAGCAACCTTTATCCATCACTTTAGGTAACATTCCAAAATTACCTAAGTATTACAGACTGGTAATATTCAAAACGCAGCTGTGATAGCGCATTTTGGTAGCAGAAAGGAGGTCCTTTCAGTTTTGCAAACCAAGTAACTTCAGTTCCCCCTGCAGGCTGCCCTGACCGTCTTGGGTGGTCCCAGGAAGTTACAGTGATGTACAGAGCTGCTTCCCCCTGGAGGCACAGTGGCCAGCCACTTCTGGACATCTACCACCACTGGTAGATGGCATTCTGGTGGCAGCCACATGTGGGTCCCTTGCTCTTAGCTAAGCTGCTGCTGATCTGGGCACCACTGTGGAATGCTCATTCCATACAGGCGCTTCTGGGAACTTTGCATCTGTTATTATTTAACCCACCCAGTAGGGCTGTGAGGCCAACTATGTTTCCTTCCACCTCATTTCACAGATAAAGGAACAGTTGCCTAACAGAGAATTAGGAAACCTGCTCAGGGTCACCTGGCTAGTCAGCGGCAGAACCAGGGCTGGACTGAACATCTGCTCAATCCCAGAGTCTGTCTTCTCTCCACTAAACCAAGCTGGCTCTCAGAGGCCGAAGGAAAAATTTAGAGCTCATGCATCTTATTTTGATGTCATTTTGAATAGAATTACCCTGAGAGCCTCCCCCTAAACACACACACACACACGTATGTGCACACATGCACACAGAAAAGGTTGGTGTCAAATGCAATGTATTTAAAAATGCAAGCTCATAGTCTGCCAGAAACGCAGAAACACGGCACAATCCTTGGATAATCACTGTTGCTAGGGCGGTGTGCTTGAAATCAAGTTTATTGCTTCTCCAACAATGACAGGGAAGGTGTCCTGGCTATGAGTCTTGCCTGGGGTCTAACTGGCTCTGTGTTCCAGTTTTCAGAGAGGACTAGTACACTGAGCTGGGCTCTGGGCCAGATCGCTGCGGGCTGGGCTTCATCAGGCAGGTTAAGTGGTCTGCGAGGGGCTATTCTTCTGGTAGCACCTCTGCAGCCCAGAACATAATTTCATACGTAGCTCCCATAGCAATCCCACTCACCCCGGGATCTCACAGGCTGCGAAGAGCAATTGAACAGCTGTGAACAGCGGTTATTAGCTCATTTGTTCCTAAAGGGTATATTTACTGTTTTTTTTTTTCTTGGAGGTTTTTTTTTTTTTTGGTAGTTTGTTTTCATTCCCAATATATAATCTCCACTAGACGCTAAGAGGAAAATGTCATTTTATTAGGGAAATACAAACAAACAATCACCTCCTAAGAGAGCCAAGGAAAGAACGGCTGCAACTCACAGGCCCTGAGAATCAAGAGTGAGACACCAGACTGGCTAAGAAGGGTGCAAGTGTTTTCCAGCTTACTTCCTGCCAGAACGACCGTAGGCACAGGCACACCTGCAGACCCTCGCTAACCCGTGCAAGATGCTCCCTCTACCACAGGGAGCCAGGGGCAATGCAGAGGGGTTCAATAGGACCCTCGAGCCCTTCATTAGATACTGAGAACAAAATCCAGAGGCAAGAGGCTGCATGCGTGAGCCCCGGCAGAACGCACTGCAAGCATGGCTTGGAGCAGAGCACAGCTCCCAGCTGTGTGATCCGAGGGGTTGGTTCTGTCCTCCAAAACCCAGGGATCCTTGATGGTGCCTTGAAGCTACGTAACGGGAGGAGGCAGATGAGCAGCAGGGCCTGCCCCGTTTCTCCCACTCAGCTTGCTCTAGAGCAGCTGTTTTTGTCTGTTCTGTTCACTGGGCTTCTACATTGGGTTTTTTTCTGGAGTGTGTATGAGGGTGGGGTCCAGAGTCTAAAAGAGTTGGGAAAATGCTGATCTAGCCCAACCTCCTCGATTGCAAATGAGAAAAAGGAGGACTAGAAAGGGGACACCAAGGTCCCAGAGCATGAAGTGTGCTGGGAGAGAGGGCTCCTGAGACCTTGGCAGGGCTCTGGCCACTAACCAGGGCAGCAGCAACCTGCCCCATCACACGCCACATCTGCTCACTGTCCTAGCTGAGAGTTCACTGCAAGTCAAGCCAGGGCCATCTCAAAGGCCGCTCTCCCCAGCAGCCTTGAGACCCGCGGCTGGCAGGCTAACTAAAACGGGCTACCCACCTGTGGCTGGAGCCAGAGCAAGAGTTCAGCAACCTGAAACTGTGGTTCTCTCCCCATGACACCTGTCCCACCAGCAAATCCAAACTCACACAGGAAATAAAGTTGTTTCATAGGAGGAGAAAGACATATGTGCCCGGTAGGTCAGTAGCTCTCACCTGAACTGCACACTTAGACTCACCTGGGGAGCACTGAAAAACAGGTAGGTTACCTGGCCCAGGGCCTGGCCCAGCCAAGGGTGCCCTTCCAAGCTCACCAGATAATTCCAATACACAGAAAGATCCGAAACACCTGTGTGGGGAAGGGGCTTCAAGCTGGCTGAATTCAGCCTATATGCTGAATCTGGAGCAGTGCTTGTGAATAACGTTTTATTAGAATGCAGCCATGTCTGGTCACATGGTCATAGCTGCCCCCATGCAGAGCCAGATGGTTGTAACGAGACAGCACACAGTTGGCAGAGTAGAAACCACTTTCTATCTGCCCTTTACAGAAAGTTGTGCTGGAAATTTTCAGTCTTATGCTAATTTTTTTTTTCCCTGCAGGAATGGCACTGAATGGGTTAATGTCTCCTACCACGTATGACTCTCACACCTGCAGGTCACTGAGCAGACCCGACACCTGCTTGGGAGCACGGCCTTCCCTTCCCCATCACTGGCTGCCACACCACAGCACAGTGTGCCCCACACATGCCTGTCCCCTTTTTTGTCCACTGTTATAAAAAAACAAAGCACAACGCCTCTCAAACCGAGCACCTGTGTTTTCCAGAAAAACAAACTGTCTTGGAACATTCCAACATGTACTTATTGAAAACCAGGAGAATGGGACAGCCAGGCAGCAGAACAAGGAAAAAAAAAAATATTAACAGGTGACTCACTGTGATTTAATTGTTGTTTTAAGGGGAAAGTCAGTATCGCAAATAAACACAATACACAGGGAGCAGAGCTGTGCTCGAGGTGGGGAGCTCACTTACCAGAGCTGAGCAGCGATCACCGGGTTGCTTGCTGGAAAGGAAAAACTAAGTTATGACATCTTAGAGAGCTTTACAATTTCACCAGGCACAGACAGGCACTGCCCGGAAGACAGACTTCTCTAGTCACAGGCCGGTCCCCAGCCCAGTCCAAGTCACAGGCACTGTGGCTATTTCTCCTTCCCAGAGAGTTTGAGCCACCCCTCTCTTCAATGCACTCTGCCCCTTCCTTCCATGCCTGCAGCAGCCCTTCCCTGAGCAGGTTCCCAGGGCTGGGCAAGCTGCATTGTGGACACCAAACAGCCCAGGAGGCTCATGGTTTTGAGACAGAGACAAGAAGCACAGAGAAGTAAAATCAGCACAAGGAGATAAAGGAGGAAATTCCAGAGGTATCAGCACTTGAGGAAACCAGGGCAGACTTTTCTGACTGGGGTGGGGTCAGAGTCCACATGATATGGACACAGGGCCTGAGTTGGAGCTTATTCATCTACACTCTATTTTTTCTTCCAATTTTGCTTTAAGAAGGATGCGGCTCTGGCTAGGGGGAAAAAAAAGTCTGTAAAATAAAGGGGGAGAAAAAGAGCTGGAGACCAGGAAGGAGCGTGGGAGGTGATCACAGGACCAGGATTCTGGAAGAGCTCCAGGCCATCTGGTGGGGTCAAGATAGCCACACCAGGGCTCAAGGCTTGTTCCTTTTGTGCACACACAAAGGGACAGGGACCTCACTACTGTCTCAAATAAATAATTTTTATCTTTGGAAAATTCTGCTGCTTTTGACAACTGTGACCCAATGAATCAAACATGCAGACATGATCCTGCTTGTGCAGGTAGCAGCAGCCCTTGGAGCTGCGAATTCTCCCTCCCTACCTCAGACACTCCGCAGTTGCTACAATCACTGTGTTAACTCATAACCCTTCTCTGGACATGCTCCCATCCTCTGGCCTTTCTAGAAAGCGATGCCATGTTCTCTGGGTGGTGGGCATTTTTGTTCCACTAAAACAGCTGAGAATGACTGAGAGTTTGTGGCTGCCATGATTACTGTGATGTTGGTTCATACAGGAAGGCGATGGAAGGAAGGTGGAGTAATGAAAGTTAAAGATTCCAGAAGGGGCAAGTAGAGAAGCTGGGTTCCCTGGAGGCCCACTAAGTCCTGAGCTGTGGAAGAGAAACTCACAGAATGGCCACAACGAGTAAAGGGTAGAGAGAAGGGGTGGGGCTGAGAGTGCCGAGGCCCTGCTGCTTTAAAAGAGCCACCGCTGAGCACTAACTTGGGTGTCCCCGATGGAGGAGCAATCAGTGGGGAGGAAGGAGCTATTAGATAGGCGGTGAAGCCTGGCTCAAACAGAATAAGCTGGCTTGCTCGTTCATTGACTGAGCACCTCCTGGTTCTTGGCCTCATGCAGGTGTGAGCCACAGCAGTAAGGGACAGACAAGGTTCAGGTGGGGGGGGGTCTAGGGAGGGGAAGGGGCAGCATCCCAGGACCTGGCTACATTCAAGAATAGGGTGGGCCTTGACTGACTGTAGGCACCTGAGCCAAGTCTCTCCAAGTTCTGCATCTACTCCATGCAGTTAAATTTTGGTTAATAAGAACCTGGTATCCCCACCAGACATGACAAGATGGTGGCGAGAAGGGACACAGCACCTTCTATAAACAAGACAGGTGACCTGTCATACTGCTGAGGTCCCAGGTCTAAAAGAAGCAGAGAGGCACACAAAAAGAATGATGGACTTGGGGGAGAGCAAGTGGGCATGTGCAAGGGGGTGGCTAAAGACTGTAGGACAGCAGAAGCCCTGACCCCACCCAGAGAACGGCCTGGGACCTCTTTGAAAGGTTTCAGGATGATAGAGCAGAACCGCAGCAAATTCCTCTCAGGCTGCTGGAGCCAGCTCCTCAGGGCTTGACCCACTGAGCTGTGCTGGAAAATGCCGAGACAGAATAAAATTGCAGAACCTTTGAAGGTAGAATGTCTCCGGGATGGGTAGCGTTTACTGGGCTTCCTCTCGAAGGTGCTGGTTCTTCGTAAACGGGCGCCATGCGTAGCTTGATACTCCGTCCGCCCACTGGGAATGAACATTTGTTTACGTGTTACCATTATCAGAATCTCAGCACACCATACACATTTGGAAGTGAGTTTGTATATTCAAGGGCACCACTATACTTTCCTGGGAAAGATACACTAAGTTTAAGCTTTCTATTTGGAAACAAAATCACATTTGCCAAATCCAGGCTATGTGACAGGGGAAGGTATCTCTATCAAAGGATAAAACCTGCAATTTAAGTACCAGCCACTTGGCTGCACAAACCAAGCAGATCTGAGTACCTGGAACATTGGCTAAGAGAATGTTGATTAGCACACAAAACACCCTTTCAATGGAACATGCTGTGTAGACATTTAACTCATCTTTTAGAAGGTTGTTACCAATGACCCCTTCACTGTACCTCGGCTTCTCTTGCCATACCACGGGAAACAGTATTTATCTCACCAGGGCTTTCTGGGATTCGATGACTTTGGCTGCAGCTTCCAGGAGGGATAGCTGTACTCTGCTGATCTACCATCATGGCTTCATTCCAGCTGCTACTGGTTTATGATTTATCAGATGGAAGGAGACACACACCACCTGCTCTGCGTGTCTCCAAGGGGCAACCTCATCTCAAAGCTTCCCTTCCTTCTACAGTTCTCCTTGAAAACCAGAGGACACTAGGTACAGGCCAAATTCTGGGGGAGTTTCCTCCCAGGAGGGAGCAAGCCTGCTTGGCAACCACCCCCGCTCCTCACTGCCCTCCCCACCCCCCACCCCAGCAGACCACGGAGCAGCTCTGCGGAGCCTCTGCCATCTGACATTTCCATCCTCCAAGAGCCCTGTGATTCGATTCTTTCTCAAAAGGACTTGGTCTTTTTATTTTTTTCCCCTCCTCTTGGAGCATTTAAAAATACATTCAAACAAAATAATTCTTTAAACAGAAGTGCACAGCCGTTTCCTTGCACCGTAGATAAATCTGAAATGAGCAAATCTTTTGGCATTTTAAACAGAGTTCAGGGACATGCCATGTGTGGGTAGAGGTTATGAAACCATGTGAAGTTTTATATCTCATCACTGAGGTTCTCAGACCTACACATGTGTCTCAAAAGTCAATCCTGGGAGCACACTGAAAATGCACATTCCAAGGCCTCACACAGAGGTGTGCACGCTCACAGGCTGACAACAAAGGTCTCGGTAAGGCCATACATTCTCCTTTTTAACAAACCCCAGGGAGTTTTCATGCACTTAGAGAAAGACATGGTCTTAGAATCGTAAGTAAAAATATATCAGAATAAGCTCTCTATTTCTTCAGGCTCTTGTCAGATTCTAATATTTACTGAGACGACCCTACGGGAGATGGAGACACACACATACAGACATCTGCTTTCATTCTTAATCATAACCAAGTTTCTTGACATTGGCAGGGGAAAGAAAGATTGCTACTAGGGGTTGGAGATATAAGAACTGCATTGTCAGGTCGAGAGTCTGCACTACCGTGTTTATGTGGGAGTTTGAGCCCTGGTTTCCTTGTCTAAAAACTGGGGATAGCCAATCTGCCTCATTATTAAGGCTGCTGCAATGAGTAAGTGTGGATACATGAAGAGTTCTAGCATAGTGCTGTCCAAAAGAACTGTGAACAATGACACTATGCCCAGTCAGCCCTGCCCAATAAGTAGCCACTATTGCCATGAGGCTACCAAGCACCTCACATGTGGCTGGTGAGGCCAAGGAACTACATTTTAAAGTTTATTAACTATCCATTAATTGAAATAGCTCCACGTAGCTAGTGGCTACTATACTGGACAGCGTAGCTCTAATTGCAGGCCAGCTACGAATAATTTTGTTACTACAGGTCGAGCATTCCTAATTCAAAAATCCAAAGTGCTCCCAAATTCCCAACTTTTTGAGTGTTGAGACTCAAATATTTGCAAAATCAAATAGGCAAATATTCCAAAATCTGAAAAGCTCCAAAATCTACCTTTCTGGTCCCAAGCATTCTTTTTTTCTTTCTTTCTTTTTTTCCCCAAGCATTTTGGATAAGGGATCTTCAACCCGCTTTAGTTCCATTTTATCAATGAGGCCAAAAGAGCTTAAATGGCTCACCTGATGGTCAGAGCTTAGGAAGGAAGTAGAGATGGGACCTATGATGACCCAAATTGCTGGGTTCACAAAGGAAAGCAGCTGCCTTCCTTTGAAACACCTCACCCACATCACAAGGCGGCCCCACCTGAACCTGAAGCGGGAGCCCAGCCTGATGAAGTCCGATCTGGCGGACTTGCTGTTTCCCGGCGTGCGCAGGCGGAAGAAGGCGTGGTGCTCCACAGCACACTTCCACAGATGCTTGCAGGTCCGGGCACTGTCCAACCGGAACACAAAGGTGTGCTCTTGCTCACGGCCCTGAGAGAGCAAGCACAGGGTCCCGGTGGGGCATCTGTCACATCAAAGCAGGGCTGTTCACAGCAAGGAAGACCGATGGGGAGCAAGGCCTACCTGGTCATCATCCTCCACCACCACGAGTGTCAGTTTGCTCTTTTTAAAATCCATTTTGGTAATTTTAGGCCTGATCAGAGAGAAAGCATTTTAAAAAAGCAGTCTGCGGTAAAATGATCTACACATCAAACAGCAGTTTCCTTTCTACTTTTAAAGCTTAGATTGGCTAAGAAAAAAAAAAAATCATTCATTCATTTACATGTGATTATCCAGAGGTTTCAGGGTCATTGCCACACCCCCACAATGAGAAAAGGATGGTGTGATTTTAAAAACAAATCTGGGTGTTGTATATCCCTCCATAATCATCCATCACATAGACTCCACCACAAAATAGGAAAAGACATTTTAATATTAGACAAAACTAAATTACCAAAAGAATAAGCCTATTTTGTTAGCTCCTTCAAAGATTAATATGCCTGTCGGGGTCAGTCCAAGAGAATATTCACAGCCATCTCTTCCCTACAAACAAACGAAGTGACAATCGGTAGAGGGTTCTAACAGGTCGTCACAGAGCAGAATGCAAAAACAGTTCCCTCACCACAAGTTACTTTGTTGACACACCGTTTACATACTTTTCAGTAATAGCAAAAGCAAACGACTCAAACGCGGCAGTCCTTACCCTGACAATGTGCATGTCTACCCCATACATTTCCAGCCACTTCGCTTTATTCAGATAGGAGAGTTCCGCCTGGGCAGGGCTCTTTCCCCTTAGAAAAACCAACAGAAACACACGTAAACGGGGACTCTCACACCCACGGGGTTCTGGAGGGCACTCCACATTGTGCAAGGTCACGCAGCAATGACAGCAAGGGGGGGCGCCAGTTCTACTGATCGAAAAGATCTCCAAGAACATACTGTTACTGAATAGGAAGATCAGAGGACAGTGCTTATAAGGGGGTCACTTTAGAAAACAGGACCACGGTTTTGTTTTTTTTTGTTGTTTTTTGGTGTAGAAATATATATTTAAACACAAAGGAAAGGGGTGGGAAGGACACACAACAGGCTGCTGCCAAGGGCTTCCTGCAGGGCGGGAGGCTGTACGGGTGTGTGAGGGGGTGGGTGGTGGGAGGACTCCAGAGCCACACAGTTCTAACCTGCGTCAATGATACAATGAGATTGCACTCATGTCACCTTCCATTACCAACAACAATAAAGTCACCGGGCTTTTCATGAGGGGCTACATACAGGGGGCCATACTAAGTTTCAGGTCTGAGAGCAACAGGGTGGTATGGGGGGAAGCAGGGATGGTGGGGAGGAAGGAAGGACCCCAGGGAAATGACTGAGTGGGGTTCAACCATGTTGGATCAGGGCAGGGGCTGCCGGGGAGGAACCAAAGACATAAATGACATGGCCGGCTTTAGGTGTGAGGCCACACTTCCTGAAATACTACACAGCACAGCACACAGTCTCAACTGCAGGGACTCCTACATGACAGGACTACAAGACTGGACACTGCTCATCTGAAACACGCAAGGTCGCAAGGGTTTCCGATCTCAGACGTGCAGATTCTGGAAAGCTTGCATATAGGTGAGGAGATATCTTGGGGAGGGGACCCAAGTCTAGACATGAAGTTCATTTATGTTTCATATACATACTATGCACATAGCCTGAAGGTAATTTTAAACACTGTTTTTATTGTTCCTGCATTTTGACTGTGCCCTGTCCCATGAAGTCAGGTGTGGAATTTTTCCAAGGTGTCATGTTGGTGATCAAAAAGTTTCATAGTTGGGTCTTTCAGAGTAGGGATGCTCCACTCGTGTTATTAAAAGGTTTGCTCTAGAAGGTTCAGGTCAGGGTCACCAGTGACCAAGGTGTGTGAGAGTGTGTGTGGGGGGCATTGCCATCTTGCTGGGCACACTTGGGGTGCTGCCAGGTTGGTGGTGGCACTCTTGGCAACATCAAGCAAACCTCTACTTCAGAGGGAGAGAGAGACTATGGTTTGGTTCTTGCTGCATCTCTCTCAGAAAAGAGATGACACGGGGGCCCCTGGGAACACAGGTGTGGAGGAAGCACAGCAGAACAGGAGCTGCTTGCTGTCTCATGGCCATCAACTAAGCGATTCTACAGTGGACAAGAGAGTCCGACACACACACACAGGACAAGATGAATAAACAGGTCAGAATGCTAGAGTGGGGCATCAAGGTACCTGCACTCTTTCCATCTCTGGAAGATATCAAATTCCATCGCTTCTGTCTGATTTGGAATGAACCGAAACTCAGACACAAGCTCTGGTGTGTGTTCCGGAAGTTCGCACTCCCCAAGCTCTGCTGCAAGGTTCATAAAAGGGAGGAAAAGAGGAGACAGTGAATACTTCCAGTTATTGCTGCAGCCAAGTCCAAAGACATTTTGCATGATTACGAAGCACAAGTACCCCGTGAGGTATAACTCTCTCCTCTCAGGAGGACTGAGGCCTCACTTGGTAGTCATACGTACACTCAAAGTCCCCAAGAATCATTCCGATGCCCTCCCCATTGGGTGATACACCATCATCTTGGTTATTACTCTTTTCCCTGACTATTTCTCCCAACCAGGGAGGCCCTGATTGCATTTTCCCTGAGAAGTGGTGGAGCCCCGCATTTGCAATAAAAGCCAATTGTAGGGATGAGGATCTGCCCAGCAATATCCACAGCACAAGGTGCTTGGTAAGGGCAGGTGAGAGCAGCGCTTCAGGGCCTGCAGTGCTGGAGAGAACGGATCAAGAATCTGGTACATACAGAAGCTGAGGGAGAAAACAAGGAGGGAAGGGGGGAGGGAGAGGCAGTGCGATGGCTGCAGGAGCAACTGCAGCAAAGTGGGCAGAACCTGGGGGGGAGGCGGCTGTGCAGAAAGGGAAGCAGCAGAGGCAGCGATGCCAGCAGAAAGCCCAAAGCGTGCTGCATGGTCCTTGCTCTTGCCACAGAATGGAGGCCCCGAGGACACAGGTGGCTTTGTCCCTCCAGGCATAAATGAGAAAGTCACCTCTCCCCACCCAGCCTCTGCAGACCCCAGAATAAAAAGGACTCCTTCAGTTTCCTCCAATTCCTGGCAACACAGAGTATGGTCCAAAGACCAGCAGCACAGCCCGTTTGTGTGAAATGCACACCCCCAGGCCCCACCCCGAAACGACCGAGGCAAAGCCCGCCTTGTCCCAAGAGGCCTAGAGGACCCATGCACACTTCCCTTGGGAAAGTACTGATCTCCAACAGTTTTGGAACTTGAAGGTGCATCAGAATCGCCTGGTGAGCTCGTAAAACCTACACTGCTGGCCCCACACCCAGAGTTTCTGTAGGTCTGGAAGGAGGCCCAGAATTTGCATTTCCCAGGTGATGCTGATGTGGATGACCTGGAATATGTTCTTGAGAACCTCTGCTTCACACACCAACTTCACCAACAGACCAAAGCAGGCCTAGGTGCCCGAACAGTCCAGGGACAGCAACTCACTTCGTACCCAGCAATCCTGTCCATCACCTATTAGGTCACGCCCAGACAGCATGGGCTTCTGAGAGCCCAATCCCACATTCTCTCTTCCAGGGAGGGATTCCAGCTGCCTTTCAGAGTAGAAAAAATACTCTTGTCTACACCAAGGAAGCAGTGATACCAAACTCAGATGGACAGTGAGGAGCTTGTACAAGAAGCTTGTACATGGGCCAGGGCCTGCGGAAGGTCCCCCTCCTGCTGCCCCTCACCTGCACACTAGGTCCATGGCCCGGGAGAGTCTTGGTCAGGGAGTGCAGCCCTTGGTACCTTGGGTAAAGGCACAGATGAAGACTGCTCTGGAAACACTATTTGCCCCAAAAGGGTAGAGCTTGGTTCCCCACTGCTGGAGTCCACCACTGACCTCTGTCCAAGAGGCTGCTATGAAACCAGGTCCCTGGACATCCAGAGGGGCTGTGTGGTCTAGAAAGACTCCCTTGTCATCAACTGCCCTTTCCTGCACCTACTGGCCAACATGAGGCAACAGAGCCCTGTGTCTAGTGGTACTGCAGATGGGACGGGACTAACTGTGCTACTGACATCACTGAGCACCAGAGAGAAGCCAATGACAAAGTCTCCCGGCTGTGCTCAGACTAGGCATGGGGCCAGCAACCGACCTCACCCTTATTGCACTATAGCAGGCCTGAGCGCTTGGTGCTATTTGGAGGTAGCATGTCTGCCTTTCAAGAATCTGGTAGAACTTGACACCTCACTAGGCTCCAGACTCTGCAGCGAGCCTCCAGCTCCAAGAAGGGTGGAGGGTCATGGGCACAGTCCAGACATAGGAGAGCTTGAATCCCAAATCCACCATGTACTAGCTATGTGACCTCAGGCAAGTCACTTAACCTCTCTGGGTCTCTGAGCCTTAACTGAAAAATGGGAATTGTTCCAATAAGGACCAGAAAAGACAACAGGCAAACAAAACATGACTGTCTTATTCATCTTCCTCCATTCCTTTTTTTTGTTTTGTTTTGTTCCTTTTACTTGGATTAATTTTCAAGTCTACCACAAAATTATTCCCCAAGGAACACAAGCCTCCGTGCAGGGCCACTGTATCACAACTCAGGAGGTACCACTGATACAAGGACAATGGTGGCAAGACATGTCTTCAAAGCTCACACGGGGGAGGAAACACAACCCTTCATTTGACTCAGACCCATGGAGTTGCTTGAGTGATCAGAGCCCAGGACAAACTGCTAGGCTGAAGCAGCCAGCAGGAGATGGGGTGGGGGAGAGGCTCGGGGACAGATGTGACAAGGGTTTCCCATGTGTGTCTACATCTTCCAAGTCTTTTTACTTGAAACTGACAGAATGATTGCATCTTAAATTATACTAATGTTATGGCTCCAGCTCAAATGGGTGATCTTTCCAAGAAAGGCTCACGGGCAGCTGATCTTCCGTCTGCCTCTGCTGGGGCAAGGCAGAGGGTTCAGCTGGACCCAGACTCCGAGTGTTGTGCTGCCTCCATCAGAGGTGGGGGCATGGTGCTGCTGTGAGTGTGCCCAGGCCTCTAATCATTCAGGACAGTATGCAAGCTACAACATCGTGCCAGTGGCCTGAGGAGAAAACCTGCAGGCCTGACATGATGCTTTAATTTCACCAACAACACCCTGACACCTCCTGCTGGGCTGCCGAGCCTGATGGGACAGCTCAGCTCTCAGGGGAAAGAAGGCCACAGGCTACGCTGGTGAAGTCTGTCCCTGGCCAGAGCTGACAGGCTGTTGACACTCCCCAAGCCACACATATCCTGTGGCAGTCTCTGAGGACCTGATCCATCATGGCTATGAATGACACTATCGTCACCTCTACTACCAGTGCTGGCAGACCACACGGGAGGTACCCCTTCAAAATGGGGTCTCTCCAGCTGTGTTCCTTCAAATCACTCTGCACTCAGTGAGTATCTGTCTGCCATATGTCAAGCCCCATTAGAAGTAAGACGTGAGGTGACCCAGGAACAGAGCTTCCTACCTTTGAGTGTAAACATGGCAAAATGCACTAAAAATACAGAGTAAAGGGCTGGGGTTGTGACTGGGTGGTAGAGCGATCACCTAACATGCTTGACACACTGGTTTGATCCTCAGCACCACGTAAAAATAAAATAAAGGTACTGTGTCCACCTACAACTGAAAATATATATATATTTTAAAAAAACTTTAGAAATACAGAGTAAAAAAAATACAGAAAATGTGTATAGGACTGATCAGACTTACATTTCTTAAAAATCCACTTAAAACTCATAGAAACTCTGGTGACCTGTGGGTGGCCGGACAGGGGGTTATTTCCTTTTCTATCTGCCTTTTAATAAGCGTACTAATTTTATAATTTGAACAACAACAAAAAAAACTTCTTCGATTAACTTTTAAAAATTGGTAGAATACAAAAGAGGGAAGCCAAGTCCTGTTATGGTATTCACAAATACTAATTATGAATGAACACATCATAATTCATCCTCCAATAGAAGCCCACAAACACACTGATCAACGAGTCCACGCCATATATCTATCTGATGTGCTAATGAAATCCCCCACATATGCAGCTACACATTAGTCTTCTCTTAATTAGAGCTAGGGACTTTAGCAAGTGCTTCTTAGGCATTTTAAATCATGATCTGCCAATGCACCCCAGGGATGAACAGCCCATGCTGACAATCTAGCAGGCAGACGTCTTGCTGTTCAGTTCTGCCCATGTGCCAATGACCTGCAGCAACGCTTCCAGCCTGACCTGTGCAAGAGCCACATTCAGACTCGGAGACACTGCTGCTGCTTCCGGCACCTCTAGGCCCAGGGGTCCTATGCAGGCTGTCTCCTCCACGGGAGCCTAGCTCTTCCTCAACTGCTCACCACTGCCGCCGCCCACCCTGGGAAGCAGCCTGTGACTCAGCTCTCTGACTCCTCTCTCAACACCCAAGTCTAATCACCAGGTCTGCCTTCCTGTACTACCAAGGCTGGCTTTTGGGGTACACGCATAACCACTGGCCCTATTCATCTCCCTATTACAGCAGCACCTCTCACTGCATCTCAGCCATGGTCTTGGTCCCACTCCAACCCCTCTCCCCTATAGCCAGCGGGGCATGCAGTTCATGCTTTTTAAGTGGGGTCTGAGGCCATCCTGACCCCTCTCTGCCATATCATTCAACACTTGCTACTTCCTCACTGGGCTAATGCTTCTTTTTGTGTGTGTGTGGGGGGGTGCTGGGGATGGATCCCAGGGTCGTGTGCATGCTAGGGACACGCTCTACCACTGAGCTACACCCCAGCCCCTCTCTGCCCTTTGTTTCATGCCTTGGTTCCTTGAGTCATCTCCCTCTCCACGTAACCCTGTGGCCCTGCCTCTTCCGAGTGTCCCACGTGTCTTTGCTCCTGGTGGAACCGCTCTGTCTCCTGCATCTGCCTCCCTCACTGGACTGCAAGCTACCTGGGGACAGAGACCATGTCATATTCATTTATATCCTGGGGCAAAGTAGAGCACTGGACCTAGCACACAACAGACACTCATTTGTTGAAATGAAAAGTAATAACATTAAAATGCTAATTACTACTAAAGATTAATGTACCTTGCAGACAGAGGGCAGCTAATTCCACAGCTGTTTCATAGGGGCATTTCAATCTTGAAAAAAAAAAGAAAGAAAAGAAATCAATTCTAAATATGAAGCTATGTACCCGTAACTATATAATATTCTGGGAAAGCCATTCTTCAAAAAGCAGTGATATCTAGGCAATGATTTTTGTTCTCAGTTTATATTTTTGCTCTCTGTATTAAAGAATGCAAACTGACTTAAACTACAAAGTTCCCAAAGTCAGTTCTCATCATATGGTAAAATAACCCATTCTAGGTCTACTTTTCATCAATCACATGGGCAACTTGACTGAATTTGGCCAGAATGGGGAAGTTTGGAAATGAATGAAAAGCCTCTGCTTTGCCTTATTATTTTAAAACTTATTTTGTCGTATCAATAAAGTACATGCATCTTTTCAAGCTGTCTTAAATCTTTCTTGAAACAAGGTTGCAGTGTTAACAGTAAACACACAGACACCATATCTAATTAATACTGGGTGCACTCAGCTAGATTCTAGCCAGGATAACTGAGGCACAGCCACAGAAAAGTGTTAATGCCAATCTGGCAATCTCATTCATACTTATAATTTCAAAGTCAGTTAGAAAAATAATAATGGCATACATTGGTATAGCACTTCATAGTTTTTGAAGCCTTTTCATGTACATTATTTGAGCTGGTCAATGCATCAAGTTTGTATGACCAGTGTCCCCCATCTCCCATTTCACAGATCAGGAAGTAAGTATTCAGGGGTCTTGCCCAAGGTCATCCAATCAGGACTAGAACCTCGTCCGGCTTTGAAGTATAGCAAATCAGGCAGAAGTGCATGCAAACTGCAAAGTACTGTACAAATGCAGGGTGCTGCCATTAATATTTTTCTAAACTAAAGACAATTTCTACAGTCACAAGGCCTTAAGTATAAGGAGCACAGTATGGAGAAAGAGATAAAAATACACACACACTCATAACACTTATGCCAACCAAAGGTCTGTATTGCATGGCTGAATAAGGCAAATGTATACACTGTACAATCAACTCATTCTACAGAGGATATTTCATTGAAATTTTTATAATGCATATTCTATTGAGTTTGCAAATTCCAAAATTACATTTTAACTTTCCTTTGGCTTACATTCAGAATCAGAATGGACTCTTGTCAGTAACATCAGGTATTACTTCTCAGACTCAATACAGCCTTAGTTTTTCATGTAATAGAAAATATTTAATACCTATGCTGAAAAATGACATTGTAAAAGCTATGACTGTTGAAATATCTTATCTTTAAAATAAACCAATATTGCATGCGAAATCAACCACTTCAAACTAATGCTTCTTGTGCTCATAATCATTGTGCATAGCCAGAAGCCTAGTATTTAAAAACCATTTTTAAGATGGGAAAGGAAATGAGATGAGATGGCTAAGCCTCTTTCTATCCAAATCAGAACTCAACCTCTTTCCATGACTTCAATGTGGATGGTGACGAATGAAACTTTTTGACTACCCAAATACTTGTACGTGTATACATACTAATAACGTATCTTGCTTGCAAATACGACAAAAAGCCATTATGAATGGGCAGTGATGTGATCAGGGAGTGAATTATTCCCAAATACACATCACTTAAGATATTAAATGCTCTTGGAAATGCTTCAAGCCATATAGTAATCATTTAAAATAAGATGATAATGACAGTGATACAAGTATTAGACTCACTTTACAATGCCTGGTGCACTTTTTTTTTTTGAATTTTGAAAAGGGAACAAGGGTAAAAGAGTTAAAACAGTGAAATATTTTGAAATACATCATGATCTATCCTGGGTGAAGAGTTAGAACAAAAGCATACTTACTTTCCAGAGAGAATGTCATGCCTGAGTTGTAAAACAAACAGGTACCTGACAAACATATACAAAAGTCAACAGAGGGTAACTCTTTCCCAGCCACCTCCAATCCCCAGCTTCCCATCATAGATCCCACCCTGCACACCGCCTGGGGTTTTGCATTGTCCAAAGGGAGTCCAGATGAAATGAGAACTTGGGTGGAAGCATTTCCTCCTGGCTCCATGAAGACATCCCAGAACCTATCTAGGTAGTGCATGTAGGGAGTCCACAAGATACTTGTGGGGTGGAACATGGAACAGTGAGCTGTCCCATGAGGCCTCCACAACCCCTCTGATGCTTGAGAAAGGAGCCAAACAGGCCCATGGAACTTGGAACACAGGCACGCGATGTGTCCACTAACACAGGCAGGGGGAGCCACTGGATTAGGCCTGGGCCAACTCCACCTGGCAGATTCCAGAATCACATCAACAAGTTTGCAGCTGACTGGATTCTGTGATCAACAGCCTGAGCTTTGCTTCCTGATGCAGTCTAACTGCAGACCTTCTTAAAAACAAACAAACAAACAAACAAAAAAACAGGCACACAAACATACACTCACCCACATATATGTGAGCACACGCACACAAGAAAGATCCTGGAATTGGACTGCAATGGGTTACAGGGAGAACAAAAAATTAGGAGGAAGGCAGCAATAACACAGGTGAGGCTTACTTAGGTTAAAAAAAAAAAAAAAGATGCAACGGCTTAAGTAGGTTTTGTTTTGTTTTTTACCAGGAGGATGTGGGCATCAGTACCACTTGCAGCGCTTTGTAAAAACCAAAGCTGCCCACGCTCTACTCCATACCTATGGAGTCAGGAATCCTACATGCAAGAGTGGTCCCCAGGAATCTGATTTGTTCAAAAGCCTCCCAGGTGTTTCTGATTCACACAGCCTGGCTTAAAAACCACTGGCTTTGGTGACAGCGAGAAGCAGCATGTTTCACAAAGAGCTCTGAGGAAGAACAAAACTCCAGTAATTTAATTTGTATGAACCTTGGAAACAATGCGGGCTGTCACTTTCTGTGGAATGAATATAGGACAATGTGGGTGACCCAGAAATCAAGTGGTGGGGGAGGAACGACTGCAGGTTCTAGTACATTCCAGGATGTTCCTGCTTCCCAACAGGTGCTTGATCATCATCGACTTCACCTGTGAAATTCTGGACACTAACTGGAGACTCATATCAAGGGAAGACACCACGCACGCTGACATGGCCAGAACTTCCAATTCCCCTGGGAAAACCTAACTTCACAAGTTCAGTTGGCCCATCCAGTGGGGCAATGGTGACCACTGGTCAGTCTTTAAAGCACTACTTAGGAAGTCATCTCCATGTTCCTGGCCATCACCGTGGACCACCCAGCTGCATATGTGTCACCACTATAATCCATCACCCAAGAAACAGGGACAAGGAGACTCTGGGATATCAAAAGCAGAAGGCTGGTGGAGAATTTCACCAAGGGAAGGGTAGCTGGTGGGGAACACCTCACTATGTACGTTCTCTTGACTTCTACGCTGCTCCTGAAGTCCAAGAGATAGACATGCACGGGCGGACACAACACATAAGAACTCAGTGGGGCTGAAGGGTGACATGAAAGGATTCTAAGAACTCTGCCATAATTAGGGCAGGAGGCTTTAAAGGGAATTAGCCTTCACTGTGACCATCAAGGGACTATTTTGCAGCCCCTTAAAAACAAAAAGGACTGAGAAGCATTCTCCCAGTATTTGCTCTCCCTTTTTGTCACTGAGACAGAAATAAAATTCCATAGGACAACAATTTGCTTTACCCGTGGCCTGAGAAAACAAATAAGTCTAATTTCTATTAACGAAAAAAATATCAAATGAAGCAAAGTTGTGGATTTTCAACAGAATACAGAAATCCCAGGGGAAAATGCTAATAACCCATGCTCAGAAGTACAGAAAGTGGATGGAAAGAGAGGCACACCCATGACTTAGAAGACCTACAAATTCTACGTGAGGCCAGTGTTACGGGGCAGAACCTTCTGCATTATGTCCTACCTTGTAAACTCTTCTCGAAGATTGTTCGGTTCTGAGGAATAGTATTTAACTCGAAAGTGCAATGCATAAGCAGGTCCAACTAAACATTTGGAGACGGAGGGTTGAAGATGTTTTCCCCACAGAATGGAAAAAAGGAAAAACACGTTAAATCTACAGCACATTCGCCACTCTACGTGGAGGGCACAACTGGGCACACAATACCAGTACATTCTTTTCAATCCCAGTCTGGAAAACCAAAATGGCCTTCCGTGTTGCCTAGGATAGTTTAGCTGGTAACCTCATTCTGGCAGAAAACCATAAGGCTCCAGATGAATTACGAAGAGTTGGCATTTTACTTTTACCTCTGATACCGAGAGGCTCCAAACTGATAGCCTATGTTTCTACAAAGTACAAAGTGGGCTAAAGGAAAGTGTTCTGCTGTCTGAAAATAAAGAAATACCTTACAGCATTTTTAAGAGAATAAAGATTTCTTTAAATGCCCCAAGCATAAACAGCATAGAGAAATGGGTACCACACCTGTAAAGGAGTGAGCTGGACCCCACTCCCCAAGAGCCCGCCCACTCGCCCAGCCTGCTTTATAACTCATTAGGAAGTGAATATAGCAGGTGCAACGTCACATTTCTGAACAGCACATTAATCAGTTCTCACTGGCAGAGGTGTCTGATTTCAAATGAGAACATAGCTGGGTTTTAAACATTCACTAAAAACTCAAATTCAAATGTTAAGCTCTCATCTTTGGCCGGCTTTAAGAAACTAAGAATCATCCATTTAAAATCCCTTCTTAAAAAAATTTAAAAAAGGCTTCCCAGTTACAATGAATACTTAAGACCCTCAAAACTTTGGCAAAGGACTTTATCCACAAATTAAAGGAATACACAAGAAGGCTAAATTCTGTTTACTTACTTTTCATCTGCTTTTTTATGGGTTTGGAATGATCCAGCCAGTGCTGAAAGAAAAGAAAAGGTTTTCATTTAGGAGCAGTTCATCGACAGGGTTATAAGCTCTCCTAGTTACCCCCCTTTACAAACCTGGCAGTTCTACCCTCCCAAACCAGGGGCTCGGTCAGGCCATGAGTTCTTTGGTGGGGATCTACAATCTGTTTGATGTGGAATTGAAAACTTTGCACTTGTGCACCCAAGGGCATTATTCAGTAAGGAAGCTCACAGGTTTCATCAGCCTTTCAAAGAGGTACCTGGAAGCACTTAGAACCCCTTACTTAACTGATCTGTAAAGTCCCTTCGAATGCAAGGAACCACCAACTGACTGCCTTTTCCTTGAGTGTTTCACATTATCATCTTCTCCAATAATTCCATGTCTCCATTAATCTGGAGAAAAGTACAAGCTACAATGCAGATAATCCCCCTTCATACCTCAGCCTTGGAGTTCTGTCACCCTAAACTTTGAAATTAGAGAACCAAAGTTCACAGTCTCTTTATTCTTTGTCCAGGAAATTGACCCACACCACAGATGGAAAGACAGGCAGGAATCTGCCTAAGATGATTTTGCTGGGGCCAATGACAGAATTTCCACTTCTCGTTTTTACCAGAAGAACTACTTCAGTCTCATCTAAAGATTGCAAAAACATTTTCTTCAAATAAAGGTGTCTCTATAATGGCAAAGTGGAGGATACAACAGTTCTGAGGAAGCTCAGCAGCCTCCCAAGGAAAGCTATATTTAGGAACATTATACAGATGTTCCTCATCTTATGATGGGGCAATGCCTGGATAAATTCATTGTAAATTGAAAACACTGTAGGTTGAAATTGCATTTAATAATCCAACCTCCTGCACATCAGAGCTTAGCAACGCAGCACGCTCTCGACTGACTATCGGTTGTTTACTCTTGTGATCGTGTGGTTGCCTGGGAGCCGAGGCTTGCTGCCACTGCCCAGGACCTGGAGAGATTACTGTTATCGAGTATCGTTAGCCCCGTGAAAGCTGAACATCCGAAAGTGGAGGTACAGTTTCTACTGGAGGTATATCGCTTTCACACCCTCCTGACAGCGACCCGTCGTAAGTCAGGGACCATCTGTACTGTGAGCCCCTTGGAACACAGCCCCTGGAGGCCAAGGACCCTGCACCCCATCATTTGTGTACTTCCTATTAGACTGAGAAATAAATACAGGTTAAGTATGATTTATTTTTTAAGTGAGGCAAGCTAGGGATGTAACCCATCACTTTTAAGCAAATTCAACACACATTGGAACCTCACTGCAAAATCAGTTGGAGTGACAGCCGGAGTGGGTTTCTCGCCAGCTCTTCAGAACCAGAGGCCATTCTGCTGACAGCCAGGGACTTTCAGAAGCAATCTAAGCTCTGTATATTCTAATAATGAGAAAGGGCGGGGCTAAATGAGTCCAGGGTACTCTACCCCTAACCACAGAACCCCTTATGACTCCGGGGGAGGAGGGGCGAGGAAACACAAAAGCAAATAACAGGTGAATTATAATACAATAAGCCTGAGAGCAGCGCGCGGCAGAACGTGGGCTTTTGTCATCTCCACTCCCGGCTAGGCAAGCGTGTAATAAAAGAAGCAGATCACCGCAGCAAGATGCATATCGCAAAGGCTCACGTAAAGGACGCTTTATCTCATTGTTAAAAGCTCTGAATTGGAAATGACCTAAATGTCCATCAACAAAGGCGGATTAAAAAATGGCTCATCCATGTAATGAAATACTATTTAAAACTGACGTAGGCCTATATTTATTGATAGGTGGCAAGAGAGCCATAGCACAATGTTAGATGAGGGAGAAAATCAGGTTGGTTCCATTTATGTGAAATTATTATTTTCTGTCAAGATATATCCAGAAGGATAGGGGTTGTTTTTGGATAGTGGGGCTGTGAATGTCATTTACTTCTCTTTCTCTAATTTAATGAGATGATTATTTGCAGGGGATGGGCTGGTTTGTCACTTCTATATTCACTTATCTTTTGCCCACCTGGCAGTTTTTGACAATGTGTTTGCCTCATGAGCATTAGATATCACTGCTATACTCAAGCAGGTTGAGAACCCCACCCTTTGCTCTGAGAAGACAGATTGGATATAAGCATATTTACTTGCCAGGCACGGTGGTGCAGACACGTAATCCCAGTGACTCAGGAGGCTGAGGCAGGAGGATGGCAAGTTCATAGCCAGCCTCAGCAACTTAGCAAGGCTCTAAGCACCTTAGTGAGACCCTGTCTCAAAATTTTAAAAATAAAAATAAAAAGGGCTGTGGATGTGGCTCAGTGATTAAGTACCCCAGAGTTTGATCCCCTATACTAAAAAAAAAAAAGAAAAGGAAAACATATTTACTCTCCAGCTATGTATCATGCTAATGGCTATGACTAAATCTGTGCTTAAATGAATTCACCATTACCATGTAAAGAAAGTTCTCCCTGCAACCAGACTGTCTCAGCAGCCCTGTGGCTCACAGCTCAGAGGAGTTTGTCCCCTTTCCTTCCTTCCTTTCTCAAATCTCCTTACTGTTAATGCTGAATAGACCACACTGACACCCACCTTTCCTCTCCCCTGTCAAACTCTAATCTCCACCCAAGTCCAATCTATGTGGCTTCTTTGGCAGAGGTTCTCAACGCCGGCTGTGTATGCCAATCATCAGAGAAACTTTCAAGAAGTCAACTCCCGGATCTCACCCAAGACTCATTAACAGGAGTCTCAGAGCATGCATGTTTTATAAAAACTCCTAGTGTATCCATTAAATATTCAGTACTGAAGTTTTCTGCATCAGCTCCTACCCAGGAAGAGGCCCTGATGATCTCAAATCATCTACAAACCCTCTGAAAATAGCTATTTTGAGTTCTGCAAAATCTCAAGCAATTTCAGGTTTTATGGGCTAGTCCAAGAGGCAAAGTGGCCAAATGTCTGTGGCTGGGGTTATCACAGGCAGATCATGGCTAGATCCTCAGGCCAGCTGTCCCTCTGGGCAGCAGACAGCTCTACCCTATGGCTGCACAACGAGTGGATGTCCCTTGTCCACTGTGGGGCTGGGTTCCACCCTTTCTGCCCAAAGCAGGACCCATCAGCATGTAGGTCTGTGAAATGCCTGGGGCTCACCAAGCTAAGAAAGAAATTAGAAAATGGCTTCATTTTGAAGCTCCTTGACCCCTCAGGGGTTTTCAGAGTGGGTTTTGATGGCTCACATCAGAGGTATAAGAAACCCAGTCACAATCCTAAAACGAGAGATGATAAAACCTGTCTTGTATCCAACTAGCTCAAAATGACCTGACTTTCTTCACAGCTACAGGAGCTCACCAAGGGCTGATCACACGTACTTTATCCCACAAGACCCCCTGTCACTTGAATACTGGGACAATGAAAGCCCGATGTGGCATTCAGTAAATTGCAACCTATGTGCGGCTTTGAGGACTCTATTCAGTAGCAGCAGGACCTGTCTGGGATGTTCACCTGTGTCCTGGCTAAATATAACCAGGCCACCTGTCAGTAAAGGCCAAGGTAAATGGCTCCAGCCCTCTCAACAGACCATTAAACCAGTCACTGCAGACAGACAGATGCACTTCTGAGTTCAAATGGCAAGACGTTTAACTCAAACACACTAACGGTGTTAGCAAGGTGGCTTCTGATCTGAATTTGTCATCCAAGTCCATCTGGCAAAGCCCTTCCCATAAATCAAGATGTGTGAGATGATCCTGGCAAAGCCCATCTGTTCTAACAGTACATCAGCCCTGGAAATATGACCACACAAGGCTGGATGGAGAATTTAATGGTCTACACAGAAGCCCTGGAACCACGCTGCCTGAGAAAAGCCCAGGAGTTCAAGAGGGTTGGAAATCCCTGTTTCCATATCCCCAGGGCCCTCGCCATTAAGCCCGAGTGATAGAGCTCAGAAGAGGATTTTTAGTACCTGTAGATTTTCTTGACTTGTAAAGAGCATCTAGATGGTGGTTCAATAGATTTGGAAGGAACCTGAAGAGGTAATCGTATCTGAAGGGTGAACAGAGAAGGAAGGGGAGGAGCACTTCTGGAGTCCACTGTGTCACATTCGTCACCTCACTGGGTCTCAGAGCAGGTGGAAGTGGCTCTGAAGAGGCTGTGGGAGGTATGTCCCTAAGAAGAGGGGAGGCAGGATTCCAACCCACACTGGGGTTGGCGCCACCACTCAAGGATTCCCCAGCACAAACCACCTTCTCTACCCATCCAGGATGAAGCCACAGACTCACACCAGCTACTTGGGGTTTTTCCTTGGGAGTTTGTCTAAGTCCATTGCAGAGACCCCTTCAGTAGCCATCCATTCCACACTGATATTTGCACGTGGGCAGGGAAACACTCACTGGCCTCTCACTGCCAGCATTCAGATGGGCTGCTGGAGGCCTATGACACTGACCCATCTGACACCTCTTAGTACTACAAGAGAAGGAGGAACAGACCAGAGTTCAAGTCCCAGCTTTGCTACTCCCTGGTGTATGGCCACAAGCAAGGGCCTGGGCTTCCTCAGCCATTAGCTGAGCTGCCCCAACACTCTGGAAGGATCAACTGAGTATCTGCAGGAATTGTACTAAATTGTCCAAGCAGATAGAATGAGAGGTCTGATTTTCTTCAGGAAACACAGATTCCACCAACAGCACTTACACTCTCCTACTTCCCCTCTTCCAACCCTGAGTACTTACTCATTTCTTCCTTTTTTTTCTTTTTGTGATGCTAGGGATTGAACCCAGGGCCTGGTGCATGCGAGGCAAGCACTCTGCCCACTAGTTACATTGGCAGCCCTGCTCCTTTTCTTCCTATAGTCACATCTGAAATGGCAGGAACACTCAGCAGAGCCCTCTGTACAAGCAGCAAATGTGGTGACCTTCCAAGAAATAAGCAGAGCGAAGCCAAGGGAGCTGGAGTCCCTGTGGCACCCATCAAGCCTTTCCAGGAGCCACCATCTATGTGTGGACCTCAGCGTGCAGCCCAGGGTCTATGCTGCAAAGCCCAGAGGGAAAAAAC